AAGATTTTATTTATTTATTTGACAGAGAGAGACACAGCAAGAGAGGGAACACAAGCAGGGGGAGCGGGAGAGGGAGAAGCAGGCTTCCCGCAGAGCGGGGAGCCCGATGCGGGGCTCGATCCCAGAACCCTGGGATCACGACCCGAGCCAAAGGCAGACGCTAACGACTGAGCCACCCAGGCGCCCCAAGGACCTCCTCTACTTCTTGACGGACCTCAAGCAGTCATGTCCCTGTGGAGATGGACCACCCTGATGCTCCTGGAGCATTGGCTGGGCTTTTGGGGTCTGGAGCAAGGCCTGTGGGGTCCCCCACTCTGCTGCACACCAGGCACCAGGGCAGGATGGGGGCACTGATAACCCCCTGCACAATCCAGTGGCACCTCCTGATCTGTGGACTTGGACAAATGGGTATACAGCCCGGATGGGGCTACCTCACCTCCTCCAGAGAATAAAGGTGACAACCCAGACTGCAGGGTGGGCGAGGTCTAGAGCACATCGGGAGGGCATGAGCTGGGACAGAAATCTGGCCTGAGGCCCCCTGGCTCCCCTCTGACCCAGGCTCCACCAGCCCCACAAAAGGGACAAGGCAGGAAGACAGCACAGTCCATGCTTGGGCTGGATGTCCCATGGGGAAGGGAGCAGATCCATGGCAGAGAGGGCCCAGGGCTTCACTGGAGTAGGCGCCGCCTGTATACCATGGTCAGGAGCATGGCCAGGAGCGCCCCAGCGGCGGCTGCCCCGAGCCATGAAGCCCAGAGGCTGGCCTGGACGGAGTCCTCCTCCACCAGAGGCTGCGGGGTGGCACGCGGCCCAGGATTACCCTCCAGCAGCTCGACGCTGGGGTCCTGGGCCACTTGGATCCGGATGGAATCCACCGACTGGTACTCGTTCTCCTCTGGGGCATTGTCAGGCCCCGCGTCCAAGGACTCGCTGTAGCTGAGGGCCAGGTCTGCGGAGCAGCCCGAGAATGGCTCACTGTCCACCCGGGAGGCCAGCCTGCCTGGCTTGCTCAGCTCCAACTCAGAGCCCCAGCCAGCAGAGCTGGGGTCTAGCCCGGGCAAGCTGTCTCTGGTGGACACACAGGCGGGTACTGGAGCCGCTGCAGTCTCCTGGGAGAGAAAGGAGGGGCTGGAAGGGACTGGGGACGGCAGGGAGATGGCCAAGTTGGGTGGCCCCATTCCCGGCCAGGGCATGAACTAGCATCCCAACCCTCCAATTCCCAGCCCATAGTCCGGGGAGGAAGCCGTCCCCCCTTGGGAGACTCAACCCATTGATGGTACAGGAGGGCAGTGGGGATGGAGGAGACCAAGGCTCTGCCACAGTATCAGTAGTGACTTCCTCCCAGGCACCCCTCTCACTGCTCACTGGCCTGCCTGTGAGCTCACCCCCACCCCCCTGGAGCCCTTGGTGGTCGTGGCCCCATCCTATTTTGACATTCTGCTTGGGCCGAGGGCCATGGAGGAGCTACAGGGTCAGAGGCCTGGCCATGTGCCTAAAGGGTCCCCTGGACTTGGATCCTCCAGGCAGGCAGCAGTAGCAGGGCTGGATGTGCAGGCACAGAGGGGGCAGCCGGGGAGGAGGGGGCTGCTGCATCAGTGGTTAATGCTACCTAAGACTGCTGTCTGTAAAGCCCGGGTCACGGAGGGCCAGACTGGATATCCCGGTGGTAAAGAGCAAGGCGCTGAGGCAGGCAGGCCACCCTGCTCTACCCCTCACCGTTCCATCTGGAACCCGGCATTGCTGAGCTTAACAGGGAGCTGCAAGCTCTAAATGGGCCGAGGCACATGACCAGTGGGGGTGGCCATCCCACCCAACCCTCCTGAGGCATCCGCACTTAAGAGCTTGGATGATTATTATTACTCTAAAGCCCGTGGTGTGGGGTCTGCATGAGGCTAGATCTCAGCTATCCCTACACCCTCGAGCAGAAGCCCTGGGACAGCCCGGGCTAGAGACAGAATGGGGACTGGAAAGGGTCCAAGGACAGGGCTAGGGGGGAGAAGCCTGGATGACTGCTAGGAGGGGCAAAGACTCACCCCCGAGGGTATGTTGCTCCTGATGGTGGGCACTGTGCTGGCAGGCACCTTGCTGGGCACCGTGCTTGCAGACATCCTGTGCTCAGGCACCAGGCCCGCAAGGACTCTGGGTGGTGCTGTGCCAGCACGTACTGAGTTGATAGGCAGTTTGGACGGTGGCTGACTCGTGAGCACATTCGTGGCCACTGCCCCTGAGGGTTTCGAGCAGGCAGGCAACTTGGAAGGCACTGTTCTGTCAAATGCTGAGTTGGCAGGCGCCCTGGAGGGTGCTGTGCTGGTGGTCAACGAGCTGGTAGACACCCCTGCCCCACTGGGGCAGACACCAGGCTCACCGTGGTCGCCAGCACCCCCTGCACAGGCCAAGCCCGTGGAAAAGGAGGAGGTGCCAGGAGGCGGAGCGGAGACGGAGGGTGCAGGCCAATGGCTCGCCCTGGGGATGGAACGGGTCAAAGGCTGGAAGGAGGCAGTCGGAGACACAGGCCCACAGGGTAAGGTGAGGCTGGAGGCCATGCCTGCAGGTGGCAAAATAAAAAGGGAAACACACACCACAGGACCGTCACCCTAAAATCAGTCAGCCTGGGATCAGACGGCTGAAGAAGGGCCTCCGTACCCCAGCTCAAATCCCTACTGCATCCAGGCCTCCCAAATTCCTACCCGGGGAGTGTCCACAGTCCCTTTGGTCATTGCACCCAGGCCCGAGGGTCCAACAGCCGCAGGCACACCCTCGGTCCTACCTACCCTTAGTCCTCGACCTAAAGCCGAGTCTTTCCTCTCGTAAGAGTAAAATGGTCCCTCCCCCTAACAGCATCTAGGAGCTTGAAGATCATTCATTATCTTCTGCTCTTTTCTTCTCCTGCCTGGGACACCCCCTTTTCCTCCTGTGCCTGCTCCTTAGCTTGGTGAAATTCTGGATGCTCCTCCCTCTGCCGCCTCCCTCCCCACCCCCACCCCCCACCCCCCGCCGGCCAGCAGGAGCCATCCTGGACCAGGCAGAAGAGCTCACAGCAGTCAGAGGGCATCAGAGGCCCAGGCAGCCCCCAGTGTGCGCAAATCTCCTGGGAGGCCTACGGACTCGGGGGGAAAGGGGTGCAGGGACAAAGCCATCCCTGACACGAGGGCTTGAACTGGGGCAAGCAGGAGGGAGCAGGTGGTGAGAGTCCATAAAGGCTTTCCCCATGGAACTCTGAGAACACACATGCCAGGCCCTATGCTGACAAAGGCCAGGAGTCATTCTGATGTACCACCCTGCCCCCCCAAAATCTAACACACCACAGAATCTTGTGGGACCTGTGTCCGTGCATATACTGAAATCTAAGTGCCCTTTGCCTCCCTGGTCCATAGCAGCGTTTCCTAAAAGGTGTTCTACGGCAAGCTGACATTGCAAAGTATAAATGGGTGCTGGGGGAAGAGTTCTGGGGTGACAGGAGTGTACAGCAGTAAAATGGCTTCTCTGAGCCTTTAACTGTTCGTGTGCCTTGTGGCTGTCCCCGGGGCACCCAAAGTGGGGCAGGCCATAGTGTTCCATGGAACACAGTTTGGGAAATGACAATGCAGAGAAATGCCAGCCTGGGAGGTCAGAGTGGACAGCTCTATATTCCTGAGGGGGAGTGCTGAGATCTGGTGTGGGGGTCCAGGCTCTTACCTGATGAAAATCGTATTTCCTCTGGGGGCTGAGAAGTTTTAGTGATTCACTGGGAGCTAGAGCCCCATTTGGAGTAGGGCGTGCCTAAGGGCTCCCCTGCCTGTAGGTGGCCCAGGCATTCTGCACTGTCCTCCAGGTCCTGGAAAACCCCTACAGAGTCAGTCCTCTTGGTAGAGTCCAGAAGGAGCCCTAATCCTCTTCCCCTACCTGTATCTGCTCTGCAATGTAACTATCAGTCCTCTCATCTAGGGATGGAGTCTGTTCTCCGACTCCTTGACTCTGCACTGGCCTTGTGACTTGCTCTGGCCCAGAATGAGGCAGGAGGAATGCTGCCAGCTTTGAGCCTTTGCCCCAGGAGCCTGCCCTCTCAGAATTCTGCTCAGCAGCCATGAAACAGACTTGTCTGGTGAAGGAGGGAGGACTCACTGAAGAGAACCAAGGTGCCCCAGCCAACGGGCATAAGCAGAATGTACGTGTGTGGGCACCAGCATGTACACAGAGGGAATTCAGCCAAGATCTGAAGAACTACCCTGAACCAGCCCAAATTGCTAACCCACAGAATCATGAGCTAAAGAGTCATATTTTAAGCTACTAAATGTTGGAATAATTTGTTACATAGAAAATACGGATACAGGGGCGCCTGGGTGGCTCAGTTGGTTAAGCGACTGCCTTCAGCTCAGGTCATGATCCTGGAGTCCCGGGATCGAGTCCCACATCGGGCTCCCTGCTCAGCAGGGAGTCTGCTTCTCCCTCTGACCCTCTGACCCTCTTCCCTCTCATGCTCTCTGTCTCTCATTCTCTCTCTCAAATAAATAAATAAAATCTTAAAAAAAAAAAAAAAGAAAAAGAAAATACGGATATACCCTCTAAGGAACTGGGTTGCTCCCTGCGGTAAACTCCTTTTATTCCCAACCTTGCCTCCTGTCCAAGGAAGCCAGAGGGGCAACTCCACTCTTCACCCTCACTGGGAGGTTGGAGAGGCCCTAGAACTCCAGATTCCACACATACCTGCTGCGTGGGCACTGTCCAGTTCTGTGTCCTGCTCTTGATGTCCACTGGAGGTCAGAGGGCTAAAGGCTGCCATGTCAGAGGAGGGCTCCAGGGGGCTGGATGGCCTCCTCGGGACAGCCCCAAAATGGGGCATCTGTGGGACTTTCTTTGAACTCTGCAAGAGGGAAAATATAAATGAGACAGTTGCTTCTCCCAGGAGCGGGCATCTCCTACAGGTCTCAGCCCGTGCAACGGAGTACAGAAACCAAGGAAGCCCCTTGCCCTGGCTTTGGTCATTGCCAGACCCTCTGTCTATAGACACCTACCTCACAGAAACACACACCATCTCATGGGAGTCTCTATTCACCTGCCTTGCCCTATAAAAGGTCCCCCTGTCTGCGGCTACTGCACAGACCCCTCTCTTGGGCTTCAAGTCCATGGTTTGGCATCTCCTGGAGACCCTACTGCCCACTCATCACATCCCAATAGAATCAGTCATTTTCCCCTCCGAACTCAATTTTACTGGCAATAATTACTCCAACCACCCCATTACCTCCTGCTTCCCCAGTATCCCTCCACCGGTCATTCCCTGGTCGCTTGATCTAGTTCACCAACTCATCACATGAAACACTGCAAAGACCACAAAACTGTGACCTCACAGCTGGCTGATAAGAGGGTTGAGGGCCACCACAGGGTGAAGCCCTGGTCAGCAGTCTGAAAGCTGGTTTGGAGCCTACCTCCATTGAGGGAGCCCTGAGGTTCTGAGCAGAGATTAGGCATGATTCATGGTGGGGACAGAAGAGAGCTTCTAGAAGCTGGGCAGACAGGAACACAAAAGCAGGGAGCCCAAAGTAGATTGTGAGGACGCACCTCTTCCAGGGACTCTGGTGGCTGGGTGTCCTGGACAGACATGGGGAAACTTGGCTCCTCCTCTCTGTAGCCATTGTAGGGGGCCCTGGGGGCCACAGCGGGTCTGGAGGGCTGTGAAACCTCAGCAGGAGCTGACTGTGGCCTCCGGACCCCTGGGGGACAAAGAGAGAGTGATGTCAAGGGGGAATCAGGAGAGGCCTGGGTGTTCCTGGACCCCCAGGCCAATGACTAGCAGGCCCCCATGGCTCCCAAAGCTGTCCTGATGGAGGATGTACTTAGAAGAGACAAGATTCACTGAGTGGGAGGCAGTAGCAGGCAAGAGAGAGGAGCTAGGGAGGACAGGAACAAGAAGAGATAGAAGGAGTGGGGCGGGCAGGGTTGGGGGGAGCACCTCACAAGCCTCTTACCACCCAGACCGGGTCAGCGGTCACCAATTCTCTGTCCCCCGGCATCCTGGAACCCAGTGGCTTTCTCCTCCTCCTTGTGGGTGGCTGTCACCACTAACTGACCCCTCAGAAAGAAGGAAAGGAGGGAGGGAGGGAAAAAAGAAAGAAAGCAAACTATTCTAAGGAGGAGACTATTCTAAGGCTGTAAATCTGAGCAGGGTCTCAGGAGTTATCTCTGGTCTGAAACATAAATAGGGCTGGCTTGAGTATTCTTCCTGTTTTGACCACTCAGACATGACCTCACAAGACCCCTCTGGGCACTTGGCCTAGCAGGGAGCACTGAGAGGGAGCTGAGGAGTAACTGGGCAGCTGGGGTAGGGGACTGAGAAGACTCCAGGGGAAGTTCAGGGGAGAGGAAGAGATGAGAGAAAGGAAGGAAGGAACCCATGAGGGAGAAAGAGGAGACAGTGAAGGGAGGAGAAGAGTAAACTGAGGGAGAGACAGGAGGAAATGAGAAAGAAGTGGGAAGCAAACAAAAATTAGAGGAAGCCCCATTTGCTGAGCACATGGGAGGTGTCCAGTCCCAGCTAAGCACTCAACATGCCATCCACCATCCACCACAGTCCTACAATGCAGATGTCTGGCCATTAGTTCCATTTTACAGAGGAGAAGACTGGACTTCACCAAAAGGACATGGCTAGCAAGAAGCTAAGCTGCAATCTACACCCAGGTCTATCTATTGCCAGGGAGTCGTAGGAGGGAGGGTGACAGAGGGAGGCAGGAGGTACAGGGGTGAGGGGACAGGCTGAATGGAGGCCAGGGGAACCGACAGGGGTTCCATGAGGAGGGCCAGGGCAGGAAGCTCACCAGGCAGGTTGCTCTGGTAGATGCAGGCCACTTCGTCAGCGAGATCCACCAGCTCACAGGCCCTCAGCGCCTTGATGAGGGATTCCACCCAGCCGATCCGCCGCCGAAGGCTGTTGAAGAGCTCCCAGAGGGTGCCCTGGTTCCCAGAGAGCTGGCAAGAGGCCCGCAGTCGGTCCTGGAAGACACAGCCAGCTGCCCTGATCAAACCAGGTGGCCCTGGCCCCTTCCCCACTCAGGAGGGGACAGCTGCAGAGAGAGGCTCCAAGTACCCACAAGAGCGAGGCAGCCATCTGAAGCTCGGTCAGAGCCCAGGACAAGGCCAGTGTTTGGGCCCAAGTTTAAGGGCGGTTATCAGGAAATAGGCTCTTACTGTGTGCCAGGCCCTGTGCTCAGGATGCTGTGAGAATTATCTTATTTAATGCTTTTGTCCCTACTCCTACTGGTGAGGAAACAGGCTTAGCAGAAATAAGGTAACAAAGATCCTACAGGCAGATCCCAGTTAGTCCGTCACCAAAGCCTGGGGTTTGGTTAGGGAGCCCTGAAGGTAAAAAGAAAGGGTCTGGATTAGCAGAAGAGGAAAGGGTATGCAGGGAACATATGACAAAAAGGAGGCAAAAGGGACAGAGAGAGGAAGCCAAGTCTAAGCATTAGGAGGATGGGGCGCTGGGAGGTTCTGATAAGGAATCTGAGGGCAACAGAGGTTTTATATGCACTGAATTCCCACATACAGATGGGCAACCAGACAGCAGAAACGAAAACCCACAGGAAACATTTCCTGCAGAACTAGTCACAAGGCATCCCCACAAGCCCCCAAACACAAGGGAGGGGGGCTGGATCCCGTCAACCACAGGCCTGCGCCACTGGGAGCAGCTAAAACTGGGGGGCGGACAGCCCTTCACCTGGGGCCACAACCAGGTCTGAGAGGCTAGGGCGGTCTGGCTCCCACAAACTCTCAAAACTGAGCCCTGGGCTCCCTGTCAGGACAGGGTCCCATAACAAGGTGAAGGGAGTCAACACTGAGCAGGAACAATGACAAGAGAGATGAAGTAAAGGAAGGTCCCGGTGGGAGCACGTGAGGGGACTGAAGCCCAGAAATCTCAGGCAGCCAGCACCCTATTTTTTTTTTAGCACTACACCGTATGGACGCAAGAGGGAGCTCAGCCGCGTGGGAAAGCCCAGCCTGAACCACACTTTGTTCTGCGGGCTAGAGAAGCGTCAAGGTCAAGCAGCAGGATGCAGATGATGGAGAAGCAAGGAGCTGGCCCTGGCTTTGGGGCGAAGCCCTGAGCCCCACGGCCCTGTCCGGAGTCAGCGGCGGGCTGTCATGCCCCAGCTCACCTGGTCACTTGTGGTGAGGCAGGACAGGTAAGGCAGGATCTCCGGAACATGAACGCGGTCGACAAAATTGCTGTAATGGTGGCGGATATACTCATATGTCTTATCCTCGGCAAACGTCATCGCTGTCCAGGTTCTGAAGAGACAGAGGGCTCTGGCCCATAAAAGGACTGACGGAGAGGGAAAAAAAGACTGGAAGAAAACACACCACATAGGGCAGCAGAGTTGGGACTGGGGTCGGACAAAAGGCAATGACTCCTTTCTTTCTCAACTCTCTGGAATGTTTGCTTTCTTTAATCGTCCAATTTTATTACTGCCTGAGTCCCAGAGGCCTTCAATAAATTTGCTTAAAAATGAATTGATGACCAAAAGAAATCAGATTCAGATCTAGAACCCATTTCTGCCCTGCAGGTTGGTCAGCGTTGGGGAGGGTTCTGACTCCCTGCCATATGTGCCCCTAGCCGCTGATAGCAAGAGGGCTCCACCAAGAAGCACTGCTTCTTTGGTGTACTAGATAAACAAAAAGCCCAAAATAATAATAGGGTCTTCCCATTTTAAAGGTGAAGAAAATGAAGTACCAAGAAATTAAGGGGCTTGCTAGTTAGTGGAAGAGCAAAGAACAGAGGTCTTCAGGATCCAGGATCAGGTTCTTTCCAGAACATGACTGCAAGCCCACCATTAAAGCTTGCCACATACATGTTCTTAGGGTAGGAGGCTGGTTCCAGCCATTCCAAGTGAAGGAATTCCAGATAGTAATCAAGGCTATAAATAAAGCAGGATAATGAGACAGAACCCCTGGAGTGATCAGGGAAGTATTTCTGAGTTGGTGACATTTGAACTGAGGCATTCTGGGCTGTGACAAGATCAGCGTTTTGGGCGGAGGGAGGGGGCACAGCAAATTAGAAGTCCTAAGGTGGAAATGAGCTTGGCATGTTTGAAGAACAGAAAGCACAGGGCGCCTGGGTGGCTCAGTCGTTAAGCGTCTGCCTTCGGCTCGGGTCATGATCCCAGGGCCTTGGGATCGAGCCCCACATCGGGCTCCCTGCTCAGTGGGAAGCCTGCTTCTCCCTCTCCCACTCCCCCTGCTCGTGTTCCCTCTCTGTCAATTAAATAAATAAATAAAATCTTTAAAAAAAAAACAAAACAGAAAGCAGGTCTGGGTGGTCCAGGTTAAAAGCTGAGGGGAGGGGCAGAGATCAAGGTCAAGGAGGTTAGGAGGGGTGGCTCATGTGGGGTGTTGCAGGAAAGGACTTTGGGGGTTTTGTTTTGGGGGGTTTTTTGGAGTGAAATGGGAAGCCATCAAGGGGGTTCTGAGCAGGGAAGGGAAAGGATCTGACTTATGTTAAAGACCTCCCTGGTAGTTGTGAGGACCTAGACTGTGGAGGGGCCAGGATGGAAGCAGGGAGACAAATCAGGAGGCTAAAGGAAGGGGCCGCAGGATGGGTACGGCCAGAATGCTGCCCATGGAGGTGGTGAGACATGATTAGATTCCTGGTGTGCCGTGGATGTGGGAAGTGAGGAAAAGAGAAGAATCAAGGATGATTCCTCAGGTGCTAGGTGGATGGATGGTGACGTTTAGGGAGGCCAGAGAATCTGGTGGAGAAGCTGTGGCACAGAGAGGACTCCAAAGCTCCATTTTGAACAAGTGAAACTTGAGATGCTATGACATGTCCAAGTGGGTTTTGTGGGAAGGAAGTGGTTGGAAGACAGAGGGCCAGGCTGGAGCAAAAACGTAGGTGCCTGGCTTGGGTGGGACTCTAGGAGACAATGCTGCAGAGCCTCATAGCCTCATGTTGCATGCCTTGCTTTGCTAGCCACCAGGTGCCACATTCCTGCTGGGGCAAGTGTTAATGACAGAGATCCAGAGGATCAAGGAGATGGGGGGGAGGAGTCCTCTGAGCCTTCAGGAGATGAGTGAAGAACAACTCTAAGGTGGTTAAATGACCCTTTTCTCCTTCTCTTCCATGGCATCCAGGGAGGTACCAGGAGAGAGTCAGGTAATACATTCTCCTGCATCTGAGCCTCAGCCCTTAGGCATAAGAGTTTGGGGAGTATGGGACACCTGGGTGGCTCAGTCAGTTAAGCGTCTGCCTTCAGCTCAGGTCATGATCCCAGGGTCCTGGGATCGAATCCCAAATTGGTTCCTTGCTCAGTGGGTTTTCCCTCTGCCTGCCGCTCCCACTGATTGTGCTCTCTCTCTGACAAATAAATAAAATCTTTAAAAAAGGGGGGGGGTTGGGTGAGTATGGAAGTATAACATGCTCCAACCAAAAAGAAAGGAAGCCCGTATTTGTTCACATTTATTCACGGCCCATTATAGGCAGCCACATCCTCAGTCTCTTTCATTTAGGAGAGAAATGATGCCAGGTTGCACAAGCCGACCAGTGGCCCTGACAGGATTTGAACCCAGGACTTGCTGCCTCATTGCAGCTCACCATATAACACCTTGCAGAACATAGGGGCTGCTGCAGCAAGTGAGACTCACAGCCCCAGAGGGACCAAGGCCACCGCTTGGGTGAGGGGAGTCGCTGGATGAGGCTATGCCTGGGAGGCTGAAACAGTTGAACGGACTGTAAATCGTTCAGACAGGCAGGCTGAGTGCATTCCCTCTATGGCAGTCGCGGTTCTCAGATCGCTGTCCTTCCAGAAGTTTGTGAGACTCCACAGCATGCATAGGAGAACGTCGTTTTTTGTTTTTTTCAATGTTTTCCTGGCACCTCCTTCCGGTCTCAGAGAAGGGCGGACCGACGCTGCGAGGAGAGCTGTCTACCTGAATGCCCCGGAGGCTCTGAGCGCGTCCCGGAAAGAAATAACCGCCCGGCCGAGAAGGGCGAGGCCTCACTAATTTGGCTCTGATTCCTGGGTGGGACCGGGACCAGGACCGCGGAGGGAGGGAGGCTGTTCTGAGCAGGTGTCACCACCAAGAACTGTCAAGGCCCCGGGGAGGACGGCGGCCGTGGACTCTAGGCGCAGTCGCGGCTCCGGGAAGTTGGCGCACCGCGGCTAGGGCTCGCCCCGGGGTCACCCTCTCCCTGTGGGGGGCTGGAGGAGCTCAGCAGCCGGCACCTGTCTCCTTCCCGCCCAATCTCCCCTCCAACCCGAGCAGACGCCCCGCGCCACCCCCGGGAGCCCTTGCTGCAGCGAACTGCGTGTACTTTAGGACCCGCTCTTCCCCAGCTCCGCGCACCCAGTCCCGTCCCCGGACCCCCGCGCGCCCCGGCGGACTCCCGAGTCTCACTCGGCTCTTGACGCCGCTGGCCATCTCCCGGAAGGGAGCCGACGGGACAGAGCGCCCGGGGCGGCTAACTTACCTCGGGTAGCCACCACCCCGCGACCAGCCGACTTCCGCAGACACTCCGCAACCCCCCCCCCCCGGGGGGGGGGGGGGGGGCGCGGCGGGGAGGGGTGGGACCGCGCGGCCATTGGCCAGACGGCGGGGGCGGGGCTTCGCGGCCCACCCGAGCCCCTGGGCAGCGGGGAGGGCGCTTGGCCTTGGCTCAGGGGCCTGGACACGCTGGACCGGCGCTCCGGGACCGACCTAGGTTCCTACTGGGGCACAGAGGATCAGATTATTTTCTTTCCTTGTTTGTCTCGAGCAACGTCCAGGGGAAATCCAGAATCTGGCTAGAATCCAAGCCTCGGAGTCAGTGGTCGGCTGGGTCCCCATGCTTCCTACGCGAAGCAATCACTCCTCCCGCCGAGTAATTTGAGGGGGGAGGGTCTTTATGTCGTTTGTACCTGGGTTACCCAGGGCCTGGTACACAGTGAGTGTTCAATAAATATCGGGTGACACGCGAAGTTCACACGGGCGACGCCTGGGGAAGCAGGATCGAGGTGGGAAGAGGCTGGGAGGTGAGAGCTGGGCAGGGACGCGACGGTCCTGGATGTGGGGGTTTTTTTGTTGTTGTTTTAAGATTTTACTTATTTATTTGACAGAGAGAGACACAGCGAGAGAGGGAACACAAGCAGGGGAAGTGAGAGAGGGAGAAGCAGACTCCCCGCAGAGCAGGGAGCCCTACGCGGGGCTCTGATCCCAGGACGCGGGAGATCATAACCTGAGCCAAAGGCAGACGCCTAAGGACTGAGCCACCCAGGCGCCCCCTGGGTGTGGGTCTTGAGTGCTGTGTGGGAAAGGCTTCTCTGCCCAAGGGTCTGGGGTAGGCACCTTCCTACACTGCTTGCGAACTGCCTGGCCCTTCCTCTGCTTGGGGCAGAAACCAGCAACTATTGAGCCCCCACTGTGTTCCAGGTACCGGCTTAAAGTCATATAGCTTAGAGCCCACTAAATACTCTCACAATAACCAGGTCGAGGTTTATTTTTCCTGGTTATTGTGAGAGTATTTGGTGGGCTCTAAGCTATGTGACTTTAAGAGAGATTAAAAGAATCAGAAAATGGCAGTTCTTACTAAACTTAAACATGCCAAGCCTATCACCCAGCCACCACTCCTGGCTGTGTGTCCACCTAAAAACGTGCACCATAGCTAATGTCCATAGTGACTTTGTTCCCAATAGGCAAACTCTGGAAACAACCCAAAGGTTCCATCAGCAGGAGAATGAAGAGACAAACAGTGGTGTGCTCACATTGTGGAACAGTATACAGCAGTGGGAAAGAACAACCAATTAATACACACAACATGGATGAATCTCACCGGGATAAATAGGCACCACAGCTAACCAAGTCAAGCACAAAGAATACATGCTGTCTGTTCCTTCAGTTGCAAGGAAGGCAAGGTTCAAAAAGAGGCAAAACTCATCTACATAAATAGAAATCATTCACTTGTTACTTCTGGGGTGGGGTACAAGGGAACTTTTGCAGGGAATGGAAATGTTCTATATCTTTTTTTTAAAGATTTTATTTGAGAGAGAGAGACCACGTGCACGAGCTGGGGTGGGGTGGGGTGTGGAGGGGCAGGGGGAGAAGCAGACTCCCTTCAGGGCTTGATCCCAGGACCCTGGGATCATGACTTGTGCTGAAGGCAGACGATTAACCGATTGAGCCACCCAGGCGCCCCAGAAATGCTCTATATCTTGATGTGAGCGGTGGGCACATGGGCTTGTGCATATGTAAAAATGCATCAGCTGTACACTTAAGATTGTTACACTTTATACTGCAACTGAAAAAGGAAAGAAAGACTGGGCGCCTGGGTGGCTCAGTCAGGTAAGTGTCGGACTCTTGATTATGGCTC